ACATGAGTCAGTCCATTTTACATGAACAAACACATAATATCCATTTATTTCTTATTCACGAAAAGAATATTGCAAATAAAAACTTTTCTCACCACAAAATAGATATTTATAATCATTTATTTTTGTGGAATTATACATGAACTCTGATATTATATGATTGCATTTAACATTGAGTATCGTATTTCAAGTCATTTTTTTTCTGATCGAAATATTTACACATTTAGACTTTTTTTTTCTTAGAAAATTTCACTCTTTTAATGGAATCCTAAAATTTTAGTTTATATCATTAATTTTTATCTATCATCAGTTTAGAATCATAGATCAGATTGCTGAAGACAATAACTACTTGTTTCTCTTGAGGATAAAATCTTATTATATTCTCTATACATTTGAAATTGAAAATGAAAATTGAATTTCTAATTTCTAGAAAATGCTCTAATTACTAAATAAAATGCGAATTTCTAGAAAAGCCCATACGAATTCACATTCGATTTTCTAGCTAGAAAATCGAATTTCTTATTTCTATCTTATTGAATATCGTATTTTCAAGAAAGTAGAAATTTGTCATTGAATTCGTATGGACTTTCCTAGAATATCTTTTATTATACTCTATAATGTATTTTCTAGTTTACAGTGTAAAAATACGACTGTCGGATGCGATATTGATTCCTCAACCAGGAATCCAACGGGATTTCGTCGGATGGTAGGACCCCATAGAACCCGATGGGATTCGGTATCGGATTGATTCACCTGGGAAGCCGACGGAATCAAAAATGGAAACTAGATAATTATCGGTACCTTCTTAATTTCAATTTTTTCGATACAGATTCACGTTTTTCATTTGAATGAGGATGTTCTTGGTGTATGAAATTGCTTTCATTGAATGATAAAGACCAATTCTTTGCTTGACTACTTTGTAGCTGAAATCAAATATCATAAAATGCTTTAAAAAATTATGAAAATATTTTCAACATACATTAATATCGAAAGATTGTTGGGATGATACACGACTCGATCTATATTTTGGGAAAAGCTTTTGAAGTTCATATCGACTAACACGACGTACACGAGGAGGATATGGAACTAATGAAATACTTCGAGTTCTTTTCATTACGTGAAAATTTTTCAACTGAAAATCCACTCGATTTGAAAATATTTCTCTTTTTTCTGTTTTTTTTTCTGATTTGAATTGAATTAGTTTTTATGCTGAAAATAGGGAGAAGAGTTATTTTTCAATTTTTCTGAAGACTGCAAATATTAACTTCATTCTGTAGAGAAGTTCCATTGTGGCTTCTCTTGCGAAGTAACTTCACAATCTCTTCTTTTTAATTAAGACAACCTGTTTTGAAAGCACTTCACCCGAGTCAAACATAGAAACACCAGACTACAGTGCATACCTATGTCTCTAGTGATTTTGTACAAACAGAAAGAGTTTTTTCAGTTCCTTCAAACATCGAGATTTTCATGACACGTTTTACAACAGTCGAGTTTTCACCATTTTATTCTATTTCAAGTTGTTCAGACACGTTTCCCTCTGGTTCTTTTGTCTTTCTGCATTTTACAAGACTTTTCCTTCGACAGATTTTTAAAGCCTTCTTTTTAAAAGTCAGTTAAAACTCACGAAGAGAAAAAAGCTGAGTAGTTGGATTCGTTCTCATACAATATCATGTCGAAGATCGATATGCCAGTCAGTCTGGCGCCAATGACAAACATATCGATAGTTGCGAGAAAATTGACCAGTTTTTCTTTTGAAACATTTTGGACTCATTGAAGAATGCACTCATGTGGTTTATTGTAGATATAATTCTGCATATCTGAGAAATATAATTACTATAAGAATTTTTTATCATGCAATAAGTATGAAAATATAAAATCTGTAATATTTTACAGTTTGATTCAAGATTTAATATGGTACAGACAATTCTTTAACTAAGCAAGTATTGATTTTGCTACGAAAAGAATTTTTTTGATCATGTTCTTTTTATGGTTTCTTTGAAATTGTAAATCATTCAATGTCAGGCGTATGGCTCGGATTGTGACTGATTTCAATTTATTTTTGGATCATTATTTTTGTTATAAAACAACTGAATATTAATCATGTATTCCCGTGTAAAAAATTTCACCCAAAAAAAGCGACTATATATTAAGTACTTTCAATAGTAGGTGGGGTGGGTGTGGGTGTGGGTGATGGATACTATGGAGGAGTGCTCAAATGTGGGTGCGAGTGAAGGGTATATATGTATTAATATGTCGCATATATCGAAAAGTTAAACTAAAACTAAATCTATTCCTACATTTAGTTTTAGTTTTAGTTTAACTTTTTCTCCATTTATATTCGAACTCGAATTAGACAGCTACTCCCTCAAATGGGAGGTAATAAATTAAAAAGACTTTCAAGGGCCTTTCTCCGTTGATTTCGAGGAAGAAGTCTTCGAAATACCTGAAGTTTATAGTAGTCAGGTTGGGATCTGTTTGCGTCTGCTCTGGTATAGTGAATGATTTTGAAGCAGTGCGTGAGATTATCGACATTAGGGAAGCTGACTGGAAATTTACTTTTTTGCGGGTGCGATTATCCAGGATGACGAGGTGTGGCGGTGCCGGGAAATCTGCGCACGATTTCAGGAAGACTGAAACGGCCGCAATTTTCACAGTTGGAATCGGTCGGATTTCGTTAGTTCCGTCGCGTGTTCCGTTTGTATTCATTTTGATCACGGGTCGGTGCCGGGAATTTTCCTCAATGGTTACGGTGGCGGGAATAGTGCGGAATAGTCCGGTTACAATATGGTGATTTCCAAACGGAATACTGCTTCTACTTTCCGGACAGTTTTCCGGTCCGTTTTCGGTTGTAATGTACTTGGAAATCACCGGAAGTATCGGGAAGAAATTACGTCGTTTCCTTCCGGTTCCGGTCGGTTCCGGAGTCCGGAATCATCGACCTAGGTATCCTCTATGATTGAGATCATTTTTTTTTAATCTAAGAAAACATCTCATCTATAGGTGTATATTACTAAGACAAAATATATGTATTGATCTGTATCTATTTTTAAAAATAAGAAAACAAGCTGTATCATACATTCGAAAAAGCCAGCTATCGCTGAAAAAACAAGTTCGACTGTAGCTAAAAGAACATCATTTTCAACAGGAGTAAAAAATATATCCTTTGAAAAACAATGAATTGTTATAAAAATCAAATTTATTTCAATCGCTTCAACAAAAATGATTTCCTTCAATCGGTTCGTCATTTTCTTCTGCTATAGTTAATTCTTCTCGCGTAGTTTTTTTTTATTTCCAATGGATTTCTTATGATTGTTTTCGAAGTTCAAGTACTGCAACTAAAAATAATAATCAATGTATATTGAAAAGAGAAAAATATACAACAGTGAACCTCGATCATCATTTGCTTGTAGTTGAATTCAACGGAAAGTTTTCTTCGATTCATTTTAGTTAAAAAAATTATATCAAAGTCATACATATGTTCATAGAACAATTGTTAAAATCAATTGAAGCTTTTCTTCTAAAAAAAATGAAATGTCGAATATGATCACATGCATTACGAACTGAAAAATATGATGATAGCGATGAAAATATTGAGTAAACAAAGCTTAGTAATTATTGTTTTCAGTTGAAATAATCATAATTTATGTTTATTTTTTTAACAATGTATAAAAACATTTGAATTATCATCAAAATTCAGTGAACAATATATTTACGAGTCATAGTTATGTGTAAGAGAGAGAATCAAAGAAAAAATAGCACAGGTTTCAAAATCTAAACGCCTTAGATTTCAATAAAATAACCAAGAAACCTGAACGTCGTTAAGGAATCGCTCTTTCAAGATAGTTTAACTTGTCTGCATATAAAATGAAGAACTATCAAATTTTTCAATTCAGTCTAATTCACGACTGTACTATTCGAAAAATCAACACATAATGAAAATATCAGTTCTTGCATTTTATATTGTAGTCTAATCCGTTGTTTTCATAGCTTGACTGAACTTCATTTTTTCGAATCAAAAATTACTCAAACTCTCACAAACGAATACATAAAATTTATATTTATGCAAGAAAATGATATTGATGAAAATTCAATACGTAAAAAAA